CTTCATCTAGGGGTGTGTAACTGCGGGGTACGTGTGAGGGGATGCGGGCTATCCTTGAAAGAAGAATAGCGCACTCGAGATCTCGGCCCTGAGGGGGCGTCCGTAGCTCGATAAAAAATTGGCCGACAGCCAGAGTCGTCACCTAGACGAACGAGGTTATTCCTCGGGCTCTCGACGAAAACAAAATTTGGAGGGCGTACTGCGACGAGGATAAGCCTGGAAGCCCTGGTGTCAGCTCGCGTCTCGAGAAAACGAAGAGGCGACTCACCCTGCGCTCATGGTCATCGCAATGAGCATGTACATGCTACCGGGCCTTCAGTCGCATTTTCCCGTGTACAACACCACCGTCGACTCACAGCCGCAACAAGGCCAGCACCCAGTACATCCCCGCGCGCCAGAGCGCATTCGCACCGCGCGACCGCCGTATTGACGCTGGCCCCCACCGATGGTCGAACGCAAATGACAGCAGTCTAGACCGAGTCAGTGCTGCGACACAAACTGCCACACACGCACCTCTCGCACACGCATATCGCGGCGGTGAATAGCGCCCCGAGCACGAAGCCGCCGAAGGAGTCAAGCTGGAAGAAGGAGAAAAGAACGTGGCTGCCGTCAAAGGACCAGTGGAGGGTGTCTCCCCAAAATTCGGCCTCGGAAGGCATACAAGTCCAGGGATGCAGTCTTCTCGTCAACTTGAGACTCAGATAGAGTCGAGATGGTCGTAAGTACAGACCAAACGTGTGTCCTGAAGCGCCGAAAGAGTGAGGCAGTGGTCGTCGATCACCGTCACCGTTCCCCACGCGTAATTATACCGCCAAGTACATTTTTTTTCGATGCGTTGGAGACACACAGACCGTTGCATCCAGTGGAGCAAGGAAGTCTCTAGTACTACTCATTCATTTATTTATTCGAATTTTTCCCAAAGAGGCTTCGGTGTTTTCCTTCGATGCTCTTCGTCGCTTCTTTCATTAGCTACCCACGTCCGCGTTGGGTACTCAGTACTCAGTGGCCACAACCTCAGACAGGTTTGAATGTTGTTTTTGCTCTTTTCGTCAGCCCGCCCGGCACTCCCATTCGATCGTAGAAGGTACATAAACTCCCCTTCTCATCTTCCCAAGATATAGTCAAGATATTTGCAAGATATAGTCGCGCATCTTCTCAAGATATAATCAATCCTCTGCTTTAATTTGCCTGGGAGGCCCGGTCAGTACGGTCACGATATCAAATTCGATGACTTGCCATTCGCCCTTGCAAACATCAAGATGAGTGAGCCTGGGGTGGGACGAGGCAAACGCAGCAAACGACATGGTCGACTCCACGTTCAGGTATTTCGAGTCGATGTCGCGTCCATCTTTATCGATCGCCACGACCCGCAGCCTCGACAGTGTCGGATGGGGCGGCCAGCGCATGAGGGAGGATTTGTTTTGAAGAGGGAGTCTGAGCGTCAGCGTTTCCAGCGGTCGGTCACCTGCACAGAGGATCGACGAGTGCTCGAAAGAGCCGGCGAAGGAGCGGAGGCAGGGCAGAAATGTGCTGTCATTCCGGCATCTTCGTTCCTGACGAGAAGAGCGTCAGGTCCAAAAGATCCGGATGGCGGCTCAAGAATGGGCCAAAGTCGTCGGGAACGTCGAGCCCATCAACCACAACGCGCGGATTTAGGTTCAGGGAGAGGTCGAGGACAGCGAGGGCGGGGAGATGGAGGAGGTTTATCGCCGCCACGAGAGCGCCGTATCCCGAGTGCGGAAAGAAGTTGTCGATCCACATGTCAAGAGGGATCTTTATATGCAGTTGCAGAGTGTGGAGGTGCGGGGAAGATGCCGGTAGGGTTTCAATCGCTTCTGAGAGGTTGGAGCAGAGCGCGTTGCCGGCGTCGAGATTGTAGAGATAATCTGAGTATCCTCAGCAAGGAACAACACACGCGAGCCAAATGCACTCACGCATCACATGAAGAGTAAAATCCAGCTTCAGCACTTCTAATCCTTGTATCTGCAGGAACTGCCAAGTCTTTAGCCTGGAGCCACAATGTAGACATTCATTTAGCGTACGTCGAAATTGGTATTTGTCCCATTGGAATATATGTCCAGCTCTCTGAGATTCGGGAAGTGCGCCGAGTTTCCTAGGATCTGGCCGAGGTCATCGAGACCCGACGACATATCCCACTTCAGAGCGCGTAACGCGGACCCTCTTATACTCTCGGTCCCCAGTAACAAAACGATACGTGTTTTTGATCGAATTCAAGGCTGCTTGAGTTTGAGCCTCGTCACCAGTGCTGAGCCGCATGAGAAAGCCGTTTCTCCCGTCTGCCAAGTGTAGCCGGCGAAGCAGAGTCGCGGGGTGCGGCTTCCAGACCGGGGCATCTTCCTTGCTCAGTAATACCATAAGTCGCCAGGAAGCTGCTATGGTTATCGGAGGATCGATGGTGTCGGAATACAAGAGCACTGAGATTGTGGTCCAAAATTTGTGCGAGACGGCACAGAGTCTGCCCAGCGATTGACGGGACGAAAATCGGGCCACGACGCTCCAGATTTCCGGGGGCACGTCGTCGATGCTCAAAGACGACATTGCGGGGTCCGGGAGTGGCAATCAATGCCGCTAAACTGCCTATAGAATGCTAAGCCAGTCGTGGAAGAGAAGTGATGCGGACTCACTAACAGAGGATCACTTCTATTCTTCACTTTCTCCACCGTTCACAAGACTTAGACTGTAACAGACAGTTACAGACTGGAGATGCAGTTGGGTTGGAGACAAACGTGTTACGATCACGTGTGGCAATCACACGCGTACGTAATGTCGCGTAGATTATCGAACTGTCACTGACAGTCGCGACACAGGCGGCGCGACGATTATTCAACTTTAACCAATGTACTCTGTGTCGCACTGTCGATCATAGGGCCATTTTTTGCAAGTCTCACAATACCAATATCATCAAAAAAAAGTACAATTCAATGATATACAAGGTCAGTGCAAGAAGCTGCACCATACAAATTCGAGAGAGCCCGTCGTGATACACTGGAACATAAGGCGAAGGGGAAGATAGAGAGAGAGAGAATGGAGAAGAGAATTCTTTTAAGGATAGAGGTATCGCTGTAGCGGGTATAGAAATGTAGATGTGCAGAGAGAGGGGAGAAATGCGCTTGAGAACCAAAGATCATCTGGCAGAGACCGAGAGACCGAGGGAGCAAGCAGATCAATCTAGAAACTTGAAGTAGGTTTCCGTCAAGAGGGGAGACGAGAGAACGATGTTGTGAATCTTGAAGAGAGCAGTGGTGTTCGGGGAGCGGGGAGATAACCCGAGAAGACAGGCGCCGGCGGTGGCTTGAGGTACGCAGCGGGCTGGGCGTCTGAGATGATGCATTGGGAACTGACAGCGGTGATTGGAAGAGGCCCACGTACTGTCTTGTGCTTTCCGCGGCGTCAGCGGGACTCCTGTGCTGGGTGGCTTGGAGAGGCAGGACTTGTGGGACCGCTCGGGGTCAGCCGGATGATTCTTTCGCTGATCCAAAGATCGTTAGGACGTTAACGAGGCAACTGGGGCCGACGCACCTTCAAAGTAAATGCTTCTGATAGCCCCGTCGTCTGGCTCGATGCTGCTTCCGGGAAAGTACGGCCGGTTTCGATTTGAAAGCTGGAGATGCGGTAGGCGGTGCGCAGGTGTGGTTGGGCGGCAACTGGACTGGACTGGCCCGCGTCCTCGTCAGTGTCTGGGCTGGGTGGTGTCGGTGTCGGAGGGAGTGTTTCCAGCAGCTCGCGGTACTGCCGCTCTCTCGCTCTGCTCACTTTCTGTGGCTTCTTCAAGGATTGAAGTTTGAAGATTCTGTGGAGCACGCGCAACTCTACCGATAAATGGTTAGACTTTGGATTTTGGAACGCCCAACAAGTGCTGACCGGTGGGACGCGCTGCGCCGTTCGCTACTCGTACCCGCTTGTTGTTCCTGCTGATGAGGAGGTCAGTTTTCGCGTCTGAGCTCGAAAGGGGAGGAGAGGCCTCACAATGCTTCATGGGCCTCGATTGCGACCTGAATGAGGGGACAGAGCAGATTAATAATCCACGGTAACATCTTGGCAAGACCCTGCGCTTCGTGGCATAGACCGCTGAAAATGTGAACGCCGTCCGAAACAACACCGATCCCGTCGCCGGCAATTTTTTTCGCGTCCTTGTGCGCCGGCTTCTTTAGCAGCTCAAAAAGCACCTTCTCCGACAGTAGACAGTTCTCAATCGTCTTCGAAGGCTTGTGAGAGGAGAGCGGCCCTTGGATGAAGGAACGTACACCCTAAGTACATGCCTACAACGCAACCCGCCTCTATTCCACCGCAAACCTAAAGAAACGCCAAGACGAGGGCATGTTTCAAAGCGTTTCTCTCCAATATCTTGAATCCCTCGTGAACAGTGTCCTCGGGAGAAAGTAGGGGGTCCCATGTCGACCAAAATATAAATGTCGACTGAAGGAGCCAAGGAAGTGGGACTTTGAACTCGGGGTCTTCGATGGCACTAATTATGGCTTGTGTGATAGTGTTTTCTCTCTGATTGCTAGTCATCTTGAGGTGGGCGGCGCAGGATGGTTCGGGATGGTGGTATCGCGGTAAGAGAGGACGTGATGTCACGTCACACATCCCGAAGGACGGCGTGGGAGCGCGTCGCCCGACGCGTCTGATAGCCCCATCTGCATGACAGATCACTTATATCGAGCCCAAAGTAGTAGTTAAAGCAGTTAACTGCTAGCGCCAACGGATCGATAGTCCAGCGAGTCGGCGACCGTGTCGACATGAGTCAAGGCCCGCACATAATTATTTTTGACGCCTCGTGATTTCCCTCTCTATAGCCAAGCTTAATGCTCAGCAATTCCATTCAGATGGATAAATGGACCATATGTGGACCAGTGAGGTTGCGGTAGGATGGTGAATGTTTCGATATTGGAGTTGATGAGCCGATCGTCGCCTCCTCTTCCGGTTCGATCGCCCTCCCGACCCACGATGTATGGTCCGTTTGTGCGGACCTTGTCACTGCACCCTAGCTCAGTTGGCCACAACTCTGCTTTCAAGCTACCCGACTCGCGATCGGGTGGTCGAGGGTTCAATTCCCTTTGGGCGCATCGAATTTGGGCTGTGCGACGTTGGGCCGTGCCCGAGACCAATAATGGTAATGTTCGCGCCAACCGGGTTGGGGGCGCTTCATCAGTCGGCGCGTCGTCTAGACACGAGCCCCGCCCACCGGCACTCCTGCGAATAGTTGCTTAAAGCTATTCCAGTGACACTTTTTTTTGATGCTTCCTTGTCGCGTCTGGTGGTGCATGTTAGTGCATCTCAAAACAGTGCTTTTAATAAAATTCTACGCCTACATCTGACAGCTAGAAGGCCTCTCAACCCCCTCACGCAACCGCTTGATCGCAGTCATCATGTGTGCTCAGATTTATTTGCCTCTGGTAATACGTCACCCCCGACGGTGTCCGCGCACCTCTCAAGAGCTGTTTCTGGTCCCCGATTTAGAAAAATCTGATTCATGAAGCACCTTGCGCTCATATGGGATTTGTAACAGTCAGCCTCGGGGGCCTCCATCATTAGCTATGTAGCAGCCAACTCGCGACCCGGATCTTGAACACACGATCTTTGCCGCATCTCCGGACGCATACCTCAAGCATACCTACACCATTCTGTCGTAGCCCTGGACCTGTTCATTTGGTCAACCCTAATCTGGAGTCCATCAGCGATCTGCGGAGGTTCAAGATTTGCTTCTCCATTTCTAGGGGACTCATAGCCCACATGGAGGAACAGATTCTCAAAGGTACCAGCCTGATCGATGGTTCCCCGCCGACTCCGACACAAGCAGTTGTAATTGCTCTTTACAGAAGCAGTGAGCCAGGTGATGCTTATGCCGAGGCAATAACTAGTGGTCCAAGACGAGGTCGCGCCACGACGGGGCCTGGTGTCCCTGATGATCATCTGGTCGGGCGCTTGATTAACATTTTGGGGTCTCTTACCTGAGTAGCGATGTTTGCACTCCTAGATGGCAAATCAGCGGGCAGCCAATATCCCTGGCTTGCTTGCGAAAAAACACGGTCTGACCCCAATCACGGTCAACCACCACCGTATTTGCCAAAATGAGAAAGTTCAACATAAAGCACGTGACATGGTTGAAAAACCGGGAACACGCTCGCATCGGCAACTTTCAACTTCCTTCGGTCCTTTCAACAAAATGAACAGCTGGAAAATTCTTGGCACTCCGCGACCCCCTTTGACGCTAGAGCTAACCGCCTCTTGAATGGCGAATGGGATAGACGCGCTGACTCCTTACATAAACTGCGTGTTTGCCACGCATTTCGAATTTCTCTCTGACTCGTCCCTCAAATTCATGTTACAGTTCAATCCCCGCGTTTAACCTTCAATTGCTGTAGATCTGGACGCGTGGCCGAAAAGTGTTTCTACTATCTTGTGCTTTGGCTCAGAATACTGAATCACATCGCAGCCCCGCCCGGATGACGCGGCGACGCCCACAAAGCTCAAACTCACAGATTGATGCCCATATTTGGATACCGGCGTACGAGAATAAAATTCACTGAGTGGAATTTCGTTTCGTGCGTCCTTGAATTTCAACCGGCCGATCAAGGTCGAAAATAGGATTCTTGTAGATAGAGGCTTCCTCCATTTCTGTCGGTGTCTTCTTTCTGCGTAGCCCGCCGACTGGACAAAATCACCGCTCGATCGTTGCGCCAAATTCGACGACATGGCATCTGGTGTTGAACGGTGTTGAAGGGAACAGTGTTCTTCAGCACGACCCAAGGTAGACAGGCATGGTATATCATGGATTTGTCGCTGGAGAGCTGTCTCAACATATTGATTTCGAACAGTGACTGTTTAGATCATACTGTAGCGGCGTTGTTCTCACCAAACCCCCATGTGAACGGCAAAAATCGAGTGGGACAGAACTTCCCATTCAGAAGGAGTACCCTCAGTTAAGGTATGCGCTGCAACGCTAAGTCGGGCTGACCGTTCGTGGCCAGTCCTAATTTGGAAAGGCGAAAATTTACACCGATGTCTTGCGGTTCAAATCAATAAATAAAATCGAAAGGCCTATTGCGACGATTTGCTCGCACGATTTTTTTATGTTCGGTGAAGAAAATCAGGTGTCAAAAGCCCATTCAATACACATACATATCATTTAATCAGACCCAGACTTCAGTCTAGATCCTACACCATGTTGGATAACAAACGGTGAATTGTGTCCCAGTCTTTAACTGAGTTGCTCTACAACGCCCAGCGCATTGATGGATTTTGCGCAGTCAATGGCCAGCAGCCCATTATCGTCTAGTCGGGATTTATCTGCGCCGTGACTGTAGACCGAAGTCAGAAGAAAAGCACTCGAGAATTAGCCGGTTACCTGAGTAGAAAGTTGACGCCTGCCACATCGTTACGCATCGCGCATAGATGTAGAGCAGTCCACCCTCCAATAGGAGCACGGTAGTTTACGTCTACCGCATCCGGGCCAGCAAGAAGGAGGGGGGCAATGTCGAGATGGCGCAAGGTCGAGAAGCAGTCGAAGAATATTTGCTGCCGAGCCAATCTCACGGCCAGGAATCGTTCCTCGACCTCTTTTGTTATGTCCGTGTAAGACTGACAAAATCAACCAAAAATGAGCGTGCGCCGGCACTGTCACAGGCTACAGCATAACACACCTTATTACCAGTGTTTGTTGTAACATGAACCCAATAACGATTATCGGATAATACTGGGATGAAATTAGCGACAGAATCAAGAAGCGACGACACGCTCACAATTCGCGTGGCATGTGGGGCAGCAAGGCCGCAAATTAGTAGAAGCCGTAGCAAGCCACCTCATATAGCAGGCGTAGTGAAAAGAATGCTGGCAAATGGTCAACATAGTAATGGATGTGTTGGGATGGATCGACGAGATAAGATAGTGGGAGTGGGCAGAGGCCACATGAGTTCATAGGTGGAGGCAGCTGTGGGTTGTGCTGCGCTGATGAGATTTCTACGAAGTCATGCAATCGGTTCGGCGGCGGGATACTGCCAGTAGATTCGCGGGTCTGTGACGTGCGCTGCCGCTTCGAAGACGAAGGACCGGAGTGTCGAGAATATCCCGTGTCGTCCGAGTCGGTTGCATCTATGTCTTGTCTTCGCTGTGGTATAGGGGAGTCCCGAACGTGATGGGGTGTACTACGAATCGGCATCTTCGAAATTTCTGAGAACGCATCGAGGTTCATCTGCACGGAGCATGAGTCAAAACAAGCAAAGTTTGTGGCCAATATGCACATACCTCAGAAGACAGCATAGGCCTTGGCGGCTTGCCCCCAGTGGATTTGCGGGCGCTTCGCCTGTCACGATTGGGACCCGGACTAGAACTGCTACTTGCAGACTTGATAAATTAGAACAGGTCCCCAGGCCGGTGAGCCACTGCAGTGTAAGATTATACGCACTGCGCTTCCCATTTTCGGAGGAGGACGTCCGCCTGTTGATTTGCGAGCTGTTTGGCCACGACGAGAGCTTGAAGAGGCGGGTATATCATTAACAACTGCTGAGGTTGACGCCACAGGCAACAGGATATCCTCTAAGCGCTGGAAAGCCGACATAAACCATCGGAGCACCGTCAACAAAAGATACGACTCACGATACGCTCCGACTCAGCGCCGGCTTTGGGGGCCATAATATTTCTCGTCCCGCGTGAATTTTGCAGTTGTGACCGACGCGATGGACGGGAGGTGGTTGTCGGAGAGAACTGTCGCCCCGTGTTATTGAATCTGGGAGGATCTATTGGATCCCATCCGTTCTCAGTCAAAGGTGGTGGCGGGAGACAAGCGGGCGGGCGACAAAGGTGGATGATCCGTGATTGTCACACAATCACGAATCACGCGCGTTATGGTCACGCTCAAAGCTCCGTTCCGAACGTCCATCTCCTTCCCTCGGTTCTTCCTGATTCCAGCGCTCTTTCTTCTTACTTCTGCATGATTCCAGCAAAACGGGCTGCGACTTCTGTCCCCAGGATACCTGTCGTAGCAGGTTTACGATCCCGTCACCGTCATAATGCGCGACTTGCGGCGGAGCCTTGTCTTGTACCCCCCATCCCTCGAGGGGTCAACTACTCAGATCCAATTCAACACGCACATGGGAGAAGATCCTATGCTTCGGAGAGCAGTCAGTGGACTTTATATCTTGTAAACTCACAAAGTGGATTAATCATGCACAGAGTCCGCGCGCCGGCCCCATTTCGACAAAATCCTTATTGCGAACCGGTGAGTTGCACTGAATTTTCCAGAATGAACTATTATATTTTCTGCAGAGGCGAAATCGCGTGCCGTGTAATTCGCACCGCAAGAAAGCTCGGAATCAAGACAGTTGCCGTGTACAGCGAGGTAGACAAGGACTCCTTGCATGTCAAGCTGGTAAGCAGGTCCACTTTATGAGGGAAGAAAATTCAGCTGGTTTAATATAGGCAGACGAGGCGTATTGTATCGGCCCAGCGCCTTCCGCGGAAAGCTATGTGAGTGCAAAAATATTCCATGCGGGACCACAATTTTTGGTGCCCGGAAATAAAGCGAAAGCGGATGTTGAGCTCCCAGGCATTGTCTTGGGACCTCAAATCGATCGAGGCCTTCTCGACAGAAAATTACACGATTCAGGCAGTGACTGACGAAGTGACCCAGCTTCGCATGGACAAGATCATCGACGTGTGCCGTCGTAGTGGCGCCCAGGTAAGTGGCACCATTTTGCAATATCTCGCAAACTAATTCCAACCTCAGGCCGTACATCCAGGGTACAATCTCCTTGCCAAAACCTGAGATCTTTCACTGACCTGCACTCAAGGTACGGCTTCCTGAGCGAGAACGCGCATTTCTCGGAAACGCTCGCGAAAGAGGGGATCGTGTTCATCGGACCGCCCGCGCAAGCCATCGTCAGCATGGGCTCGAAGAGGTCCGTGCTCAACACATCCCATCTGCCATTGTTGAATTGAGAACCAGCGAGTCGAAGAACATCATGTCAGGTACGCGGCTGTGTTTCTGTGCATTTCATTTACTCACTGGATACAGCGGCGGGCGTGCCCTGCGTCCCGGGATACCACGGAGAGAATCAGTCGCCAGAGT